CTGGATGAATGATGGAGTCCTTAGAGACCCACGTACTGTCCTACAAGTTATTGATGATGTTATACACAGACAACAAAAGATTGGAGGAGGACCAATAGTGGTACACTGTAGGTAAGAAGTGTAATAGCTATTCAGATGGAATTCTTTATATGTTTCAGTGATACAGTGAGTCGTACAGGAGTGTACTGTGCTATCAGTATTGCTCTAGAACAGTGTAAGGCAGAAGGTGTAGTGGATGTGTTTCAAGTGACTAAAGCTCTTAAAAGGAGTAAACCAGGAGCTGTGACTACACTGGTACAATGCAATCATTGTAAAATAATTAAAATGAATCTATTTCAATAGGAGCAGTACATAACAATATATGAAGCACTTAAGATGTATCTTGCTATAAATAGCACATACTCAAACTTCCAATGAAGTTTATTATTAACAGCTAATATTTTGTAACATAGATTTTAGATAAAGATGCTGCTAAATTCAATGTTAATTATGTTTTAATTAGCCTTTATTTTGCTGCAATCCTTCGTTAAATTTTAATTTTTTTTTCAATAAGCAAAAACTAATTATGTCATGTATACCTGACATCTAAAACAACATCATAATTACATCCAATTTTAACCCTTTGTTGTGTGAAGCTATGGAGCCACAGAAGGAAGAAGTGCTGCGTTTGTTGGGACTAGAGCCACTGACCACAGAAGGAGGTCTTTATACCATCACATATGTATCATCAAGGACTTATAACAACGTAACAAAGGAAGGGAGTAACAAGGAAAGAGCTTTAATGTCATCTATCTACTACATGCTAACTGATCAATATCCTATTAACTACTTTCATAGAAATAAACCGGATATTATACATTATTACCACATTGGTCTACCTATTAGGTATCATATGGTATCTCCTGAAGGAGACTACAGGACTGCAGTGATGGGCAGTGATTTAAAAGCAGGGCACCATCTACAGTTGCTTGTTCCAGGAGGATATTGGAAAGCTGCTGAATTGATTATTCCAAAAAACTCAGAAAGCAATAGCACTTATGGTTTGATAAGTGAAGCTGTAGTGCCTCAGTTTAAGTTTGATGAATGGTCTATAGCTATTGAACGTGATATTAAAGATCTTGTCTCGCCTGAAAACTACGAGCTTTTAAAAAAACTTATTAAAAGTTAAAGATTATTATTTTGTGATTCCAGTATAGCAATAATTTTACAAATTCAATTGTCATTGGTCAAACATAACTTATTAATAAATAATATTTTGAAATAAATAATAAATAATAATTAGACTCTAATGATTATATTTCACTTTATTATGAATGAAGTGGTGGTCCACTATTTCGTTCTCTTTTTCTCAATAGTCTTAGGTAGCAATAAAGACACCAGCAGTATGATCACAGACACAATGAAACATAACTCGAATGACAAATGATAATTCAATGGCCAATTTAGCCCTATTAGTAATAAGAAGTTAAAAAAAAAATGAAATGGTGATAGATAAAAAGTATGATGACCTACCATTGCTCTCACTCCATGCAAACAGCAGTGCACCATTGGTAGGCCCAATAGAGCGAGCGATGGCAACTAGTGATTGAGCGATCCCATTAACGAGACCACGAGTTTCAGGAAGAGCTGAGTTATTGACCATAACCATGATTGCCGTAAATGTACTAGCTCTACAAAACAGAATTTTGACGATGAATTCCAATTTTTAGTAAGTTAGATTCAATTTTATAGTAATCACTGTATACATGTAATCAAATAACAGTTTTGTTGTAACTGCCATTTTTTACAATTTTAAAGCAACTTTAAAAATTCTTTAAAAATCTAAATTTGATCCAAATTACCTCAAACTAAATACACAACATCAAAACATGTATATGTATCAGAAAAAATTATAAAAATCAAGAATTTTCTCCTAGTCATTTTTAGTGAAATTTGGCCAATGTCCCTGTACTACAGTACAGGGACTTTTCCCCAATTTTTGAGCAACTTTAAAAATTCGTAAAAAATTTAATCTTGACCGAAATCAACTCAAACTTGTTACACAATATAAAAAACATGTATATGCATTAGAAAAAAATTATAAAAATGAAAATTCTCTCTTAGTCATTTTCGGCAAAATTTGGAGAAACACCTTGTATTAGTACATGTCCCTTAGCCAAATTTTGAAGCAACTTAGTTAACTTCACTACTTGTTACTAGTGACATTAAAAATGCATAAACTAAACATTTTAACTACAGGAACACAACCCACTCCCTAGTGATACCTTGATATTATCATTGCTAGTAGAGCCAGAAGCACAACGGCCCACACTTTAGCAGGTAATCTACTAATAGAGTCCTCATTGACTGATGCTTCTTCAGGCGAGCGTCCACAATAATCAAAAATGCTTGAGTCATTCAACATTGGATCCATTCCGCTACCTGTGTCATTGGCTATTGTCTCAATAGGTCCAGTGATTCTATTAGACCATGGTAACAAGATACAGCCACAAGCAAAGACCACTAAACTAGCACGAAGGAGATTACGATATCCCAAGAGCTTCACCGTCCTTGGGAAGACAAAAGGCTAAAAGTTAAAATACAGATTAGTGATAAAATTTAGTGATGTAAAGTTAATTATAAAAAACTAACTATAATAATGTAATAGGAAGACTACTAGTATTACTGTATTAGTATATTTTGTACTAATTTGGCAAAATGGCTACAACAGTGAAGCCATAAGCTACTTTTTGCATACCTGATAAACTAACTGAACTGCAGCAGCAATCATGGTGAGCGTAGCAATTTCGTTATCATCCATTTGATAGCCTCCGTGAACATGAGAAGTGACCATCAGTAAAGGAAATAACTGTCGTGATGATAAAATCAAACAATCATAACAAGTAGCACTTACTTCATTAGTTATGATGGCAGCATATCCCATCAGGCCATATATCACTGTTGTTAGTATTACTCTTCTGTCCAGTAGTAATCTCAATATCTGCTTGAAATTAGATAATATGCCGGAACCAAGTCTCTTCCAAGTTTCACAAGAAGTGATGAGAGATGTCAAGGATTGTGACCTTCCTTTGCTAGTATAGTAACAGTGGCAGCAGGCAATACACTGTTCCTTATGGTGCCTTACAAATTTTCTTCGAAATGACGAAAAGCTAAAGTTTTTTATTGCATTCTTAACTACTACTGAATATCTTAATTTTTCGGGGCTGCTGTTTTGAATGTTTCCAGAAAACCCAATTAACATTTCTGTATCAGATTCGTTCATATCAGTGTCAATATCAGACTCTCTGATCACAGCAGTATCCCCATTATTGTGACTAGTTAATTCTGAATCACTTTCACTAGCTGACATTGATATCAATTCAATATCAGTGACAGTCGATTGAGTGTCATCTTGATCATTTTCATCGTCTGAGTCTTCTCTTGATTTATAAGCTTCCTTTGCTTTTGGTAATGTTTCATTGAGGAAACAGAATCCAGCTAATGGAGAAAGATCATGATATTTAATGTATTATAGTCATTCTTAACTGGTAAAACTGAAGATGCCTATTCCAACAGCCACAAAAACTGGTAGTACATAAGGGAACTGACAAAAGAAAGGAAGCTCAAACAAGTGATACTTGCTGGCTGGCTGAGCCAAGAATCCACCAATTACTGAGCCCTACAAATAAAAAAACATTTACAATCATCAATTCCCAGAAAACACATTCACATATGCCAACTTTGTTCATACTAACCATAAGACGTCCAAATCCACTTGACGTCCCAATAACAGAGAAACCTTGAGCTTGATTAGTATCATCGCATATCTATCAGTATAATTATACAAGTCATCAGTAAAACAACGTGATATTGTGTACTTCTGATAGGTAAGTTTTAGCAACTCCGATATTACCATTAAGGAAACCCCATAGGAATCTTGCCACAATAGCCCATGCAAAGGTCTGACTACAAGTATTACTATCAACCATGTACTAATGATTAGCAAGTCTTACCTAAACCCGAACAACAGTTCGGAGGCTATTGTACCACAGATACCAAATAGCATGACGGGTCTACGCCCCCAGTAGTCCGATATTGAGCCCCACATCAGACTGCCAATAAAGTTACCGGCAAAAAAGGCACTGCCAAGGAAACCAGCTTTCTGACCTTTTGAAATCATGATATATGTACATAGCTATGATTATGATCGGCTGTCACTAACCCAATTCATCTTTGTTGAGCTGAGGAAAGAAGTCATGCACCATGAACGGTAAAAAGGGAAATATCAGGGCAGCACCTGCACAGCAAATGCACCAATAACAATAAATATTATGTAGACTGCTTGTTACACAGTAACAATGTGCTTGTATTCGAGTCTAGTCTATTTAGAATCTACTACTAACCGAAATTATTTGTGAGCACAATAGAGCCTATTACGATGACCTTGATCTTTGGTAATGGCGTAGCTTTCTTTTTCGAGGTAGCCGGCTCTTCCTCTGACCTTTTTCTACAAGGAAGACAACTTTTTGGACGCCTCAGGCCTCTAAAACACTTAGTGATGACCTCCATAATTTGAAACAAGTACAAGGCGTGGCTAAAATATTAAAATAATCTGTTATCTCTATGAATAATAATTATTTAGTCTATTATAATATGCAGCACACATTTTATCTAGATGTGTAACATGGTAGTAATAAATAATTTTAAAAGTACACAGCACACAAAAATTTCACAAGTTAACTCTATTTCCTTTGACACATAAGGAGCGGATAGCCCAAGCATCCTAAAAAGAAAATGCTAGCCTCATTAAATGATAATCATATTCTTACTTGAAAAGTAATTGTAGCATCTGGCCCTAATTTCTTTTGTGCAATGTCTTCAACTTCTTTAGCAATTTTTTCTTGGACTGTTCCTCCAACAGAGACATACTGACAGTGTGAACTAGCATAGTGACATGATATGGCCTATAAAAGACAACATGATCATAGCACTATTCTTTAGGAGGAAAGAAAAAGATGAAAAACAAGCCAGCAAAATGATATTAGCAACAAAAAGAGATCAAATATATAGAAAAAAGGAGTTATGCTTACTTTTCTAAATCCACTAGTTCTATTCATTCCAGAGCCATGGATAAGAATGGGATGAAAGAACACTGTGTCACCAGCTTCCATTTCCAAATGAACACGCTCATTACCTTCGGTATAGTCCACAATACCATGATACATTTTATTGACACCTCCCTAAAAATAGAAATAATAATTACTGACGCTATAAATTAACAGACAAATTATAAAAATAGGGTTTCATATAGGCATAAATAAATTTTACTAAAACATATAATGTCTGAAAATTTCTGAAGGTCAAAACATGGGGAATATATTTTGCAAAGAAAAACTCTCATGGTGGAGGTAGACAGTGCATTATAGTCTAGCTCACCTCCCATTTAGGATAATCATGTTTCCATAATTCTCCTTTGTGCGTTCCAGGCAGGACCACCAAACAACCATTTTGCCTATTAACTCTTTCCATGGCAGTCCAAGAGCACACGATAGAGTCAGCAGGTCGGAAAGGAAAGTAATATAAATCTATGAGAGAAGAAATTGAAATAGCTGAAGTCATTTTTATATATATGTGAATAAACTGACCTTGGTGTAATGGATGGCGACTTGTTTTTGATCCAGGATCTGGCGGTTTGTTAATGAGCATTGTGTGCATGGCCATTATGTCAGGGCCGGTAAAACACTCAACATACTTTAATATATCAGGCAGACTGCAATAGTTTGATAGAACAGGATCATGCTATAAAAGAGAGTAGAGATAGCTACACGTAGGACAGTGATATCAGTTTTTACTTGAAAGTTTTGAATCTTAGTCACAGCTCTCTCATTTGTGTCAAACTCTGACTTGGCAATAGCAACATCTTTCATAATGGTCAAACCAGGTACCTGCATAAATATGCAATGATAATGATGATGATAGGCTCAAAATGGGGTCAAATTTTGACAAAAATCACTAGGAAAGAACTTTCTGTTTTTATAATTTTTTCTGATACATATACATGTCCTTATGCCATGTATCAACTTTGAGCTGATTCCAATCAAATCTGGATTTTTTATGAATTTTTAAAGTTCTTCAAAAATCAGGCTAACAACCAAAAGCTATAGCCTTTGGTCATCAGCCAAATTTTGTCAAAAATGACTACGAGAGAATTCTCCATTTTTATAATTTTTTCTGATGCATATACATGTTCTAATGTCATGTATCAATTTTGAGCTGATTTCAATCAAATCTAGATTTTTTATGAATTTTAAAAGTTCTTCAAAAATCAGGCCAACGACTAAAGGCTATAGCCTTTGGTCATTAGCCAAATTTTGTCAAAAATGACTATGAGAGAATTCTCCATTTTTATAATTTTTTCTGATACATATACATGTTCTAATGTTGTATATCTAATTTAAGCTGATTCCGATCAAAATTGGATTTTTTTATGAATTTTTAAAGTTGCTCCAAATGCCATGTACTGTATTGTAGTGCTTGTCAGCTCATGAAGCTAAGCTCACTTAGCATGCTCCTGCTAGTGACTCAAGTATCTTGCAAATATAAACAATCAAAAAATAAAAGTGGCATTAAATCAAATACTCTACACACAAAAGAAAATTAAAAATAAAATGAATTTCATACACACACTAAGCTGCAGATACAAGTGTACAGTACTCAGTCATTAAAAGTGTTATAATGTGGCTGCTGAAGCAAACGTGCAGGAAGATCATCATCAAAATTATGGACCTCTTTCTGTGCTAAACACTTCCTCTTACACCAATGTCTAAAGGTGAAGCAGACTATGTAAATTAAAGGCAAAGACATGAGAAAGAGCTGAAGAGAAGCAATAAAAAATTTAAGTTTCAAATCGTCCAAATCAATGAAAAGAAAGGAGTTTATAAAGATAAACATGTTAATCATTAGAAGATCAATCAGTAGAAATGAATCAATATTGTTATCGGACTTCTTTTCAAAAGGACGACACAAACAATGGAGGAACAAAATAAGAAAGAGCATGACCTCGTGAGTAGCATTAGCTACTATCCCACCCCCAGTAAATATGCTAGAAAAAAGAACCAGTAATATACGATACAGAAAAAATAGACCAGCAAAGCATCTATAGTTATCCTTGAAGCATCCTTGGAATGAATCCAAAAACGGTTTCAGCTTCATTCTAAATCTGTGAAGAGCGTATGTAATAGCATTCCTTCTTATATTCAAGGCACCACTTAGTCGTACTAAGAGTGGCTCCAATAAAAGAATGAGAGGAGGAGGTAATATTATGAATACCAGACAAACTATAGCTGGTATGACATATTTAAGATGATGGTCAGACATGTATGCTAAGTTTCCATTATAGAGAGGAACTGTCTCCAGTATTTTTCCTCCTTCTCCCATGACATATGAAGGGATTAGAATATGAGATGTGATAACCAGGCAGTGAAAGTAGCAGAGAATCAGGAAAGCTGTCAATGCATTGACAATAGAGCCTCTTATATTTCTACGTCCGTATTTATGACAGAACCTGATGCAACAGTAAATTGAATTGAATTTGAGTACCAGTATGGTAGCAATGATCAAGAGGAAAGCGTACAGTGTGGTAAGATACTTTATCAGCAACAAGTCCATGATAGTGGCATCCTTAAACAAACAAAACGACAAGTGATGGATTTCCAGAATTTCTAAGTCAAAAAAACCATAAAATATTTTGAAAGCAGTAAAGAGATAATTCATTGAATCATTGTATGCAATGTTAAGCGAGTTATTGCATTGATTGTTAAGAATCTGTGAATAAAATATAAACGAATACAGACCACCAGATGTGAGATTTATGTTAAAGAAAAGAATTATTAGAAATATACATGTGACTGGTATAATCTCAAAGAGAACATACAGCAATGGACCATACTGGCAGTGTGTGGACTCACCACAATGATAGCTAGAAGAGTGAAAGTAAACAGTGTAACTAGTGATGCAGCTACCACACAATGTACCACTTCTATGAGGAGCACAAACATGATCATTTAAAAGATTTTGATCCAATGGAAGGATGCACTCTTTGTATTGAGTATAAATACTACACTTGCATAGGCTTGTCACACAATCTGCTGTTGTAAAATTCTGGCCTACGTATCCAGCCCAAAGTCCTGCATTAATGACAGCACTTTTATTTTCCAGGCAATGCGTTACACCGAAATAGTACACACCAGTAGAACTACGGGAACAGTAGCAGGTATCATTATTGAATTGGAATATATAGCCTGGAGGGCAGTTTTGTAAAGTAACATTGATAAGCAACCTAGCACTGTACCCAGTTGTTTGTAATACAAGTTCACCTTTCTCTCTTGCTCTTCCTTTAAAAGTTATTATGAAATTGTTAGCAATGAAATGAGTCAGAGCAATTTTTAATGATGAGTTCTGGTTATTGAGCAGTGTTGCAAACAATGGAAAAATTTCCAAGTCTGTAACATTGTTTTTAAACTCATCTCGTTGTGTTACATTCATAGTATATGGTATTCCAGGATACATCACCAGATCAACTTCATTATTATTTATAGACACTGTAGCTGGTGCAGTAGCAATTGAGTGATTTGTCTTTGGTAAAAAAGTAAATCTTCCCATTTTTGTATCATTGAAAAAGAGAGATGAAACAGTCCCACCATGCAACTGAACGCAAGGTCTAAGTGTAGAAGCAAAAATATCATCACCAAGCATACTAGTAGTAGCCTTGTTGTTAATAAAATGAAAAGTTCCTACTCTTTGGTGGTTTTGTAGAAAACACGTTCCAGTGTATTGCATGATAGTTGTTGATTGAATGCAAATTGCACCACCGACTTTAGCAGCATTGTTTATAAAATATAAGGTGACAGTGTCATTAAAGTCAAGGATTGCACTTTCAGAAAAAAGTAAAGCGCCTCCACATTCACCAGTGTTATTGGTAAAATTTAGCAAAGAATTTTTTAGCACAAGGATGCGGGTATACACCAAATAGACAGCAGTCCCAGTATTGTTAATAAATGAAACATTTCCATTAAACAGAAGCAGAAAATAAAGAACAGAAACTGTCGATTCACTTAATTGGCCACTATACTTTTGATTGCTGGAGAGTTTTATTCCTGCAATATTACTTATAAAGTAACTATCGCTAAATTTTATAGCAGTATTTACCCCCGAATATATCCTTTGGTTATTTCCATTAATGTCTACAGCTGAACTAATTACTGCTTTGTTAGAAGTAAATTTGCACAAGGAAAATCTTACCCTACTTTTTACTAGTTTTGAATCAGTTTTAATCCTTAAGTGTGGAATTAGTATAGCAACTCCCCCACCAAAGATTGCCTGATTGCTGTCTATTATGCAGGATATGAAATGAATATAAAATCCAGCAGTTATAAGGCCATCAATGTATACAGTAATGCCAATAGCACCTCCACTAGTAATAGCGTTATTATCAATAAAAGAAGAGTTGATAATAGTGATATTATTGCTAGAGCTGTCACCAAATTCAATAAATAATGCACCACCTACAGATGTAGCGGAATTGTTTGAAAAATAGCATAAGTTACACGTCACCGAGATAATATCCTGATGATGCTGAATTAAGCGCAAGCCTCCTCCAGTTAAAAAGCTTTTATTTTTTCTAAGATCTCGACTGTCCCTCAAACTGTTGCTTGTGAATGTACAATTGAGCATATGAATGATTCCATGAGTGTCATTAATAGCAAGGGTACTCTTGTTGATAGCCTTGGTGTTATATAAGACAAGACCAACCCCATAGTTATTATTAAAGCTGATGCTTGTGATATAAATGTTATTACAATAAGTAAAGAGCATAGCTTGTGTCCCATGGTATCCTCTTTCCTCATAAAGCAATCCACAATACTCAATGGCAAAACTATTGAGTAAAACATTGCTACAGTTTTTAAAAATTATGCCAGACCTCTGTTCGAGACTGCTGTCACATTTGATACTAGCTCCATTTCCATTGATAGTCAGCTCATTAATACCAATAAACGTAACATTACCTTGCAGACTTAGAGCAGAACTGATGATCTCTATTGTAATATTAGTGCTGTTTTGAATAGAGTCAGCTACATATTCCACTGAATAACAGGGAGACTGTCCTTTAATGCACTCAATAGCATCATTACCCCTTTTGCCATACTTGCCATCAATACTGATAACAAGAGCTGATATTCCATGAAGAAAGGAGAGAAAGAGAAGAGCAGACAGAGCAGACATGCTACACATCAAAGAATGAAGATATCAAGTGCATATGAAAGCATGCTAAGCAGTACAGAAACTGAATCGTTAATTTTAAAAGTATACATTACTTTAATGAAAAATAACAAGAGATGACTTTGTTAAAATATACAAAAAGTTTATGTTTAGATTATTGAATGCCTTGAGCATTCTTGTATTGCCAAACTACCAGTGTGGTGTGACATATGGCAAACAAAATTAATACACCACATGCAAAGGGATCTGGCTACCCAAGACTCTTCCTTCCAGGTAATAATCAGATGAATTTTTTACCATTAGAACTTAAAAATAGCATAAAAATTTATCACATACATGGTACTTATAGTGGAATTTTATTTATAGAACATGTCAAATAAATTAGTAAAATGGCTAAAGGAAGGTTTATGTTGAATTGCAAGGATGATCTGGGCCCAATACTGAGATTTTGGTCAAATTTTGTCAAAAATGAAAAAGAATGAATTCTCCAATTTAATAATTTATGTTGATGCATATACATGTACTTATTTTGTGTAAAAAGTTTGAACTCATTCCGATCAAAATTAGATTTTTTTATGAATGATTAAAATTGCTCAAAAATTCGACCAAAGTCCCTGTACTATAGTACAGTGATCTTGGCCAAATTTTGCCAAAAATGAAAACAAACATATTCTCAGTTTTTATAATTTTCTCTGATATATATATACATGTTTTTAAAATGTGTAAGAAGTTTGAGGTGATTCCGATCATATTTGAATTTTTATGATTTCTAAAGTTGCTCAAAAATTGGGCCCAAGTCTCTCTAGAGGGATTTTGGCGAAATTCGTCAAAAACAAAAAGGAGAAAATTCTCAATTTCTATAATTTTTTTAAATACATGTACACGACTACGTGTACTTATGTTGTGTAGAAGTTTGAACTTATTCCGATCAAAATTGGATTTTTTGTAAATTTTTAAAGTTGCATGGCAGATGATGGCAATCACTCGTATCACTATTATATCACTTACGTCTACTTCTTTCCTGCAGATTTGCTTAAAACGATCATGAAACACCTCCAGTTTATCTCCTGGCACTAAACGACGAACCACTAGGAAACCATTATCCTCATAAAACTGCCTTTGCTCAGGAGTGAGGACCCGTGCACTCTCTTGAGTGGTATACCGGTATGTAAGGGTTGCTGCTGTGTACGAGTAAAGACACAAACCTACACTATAACATCATTATTATGCATACTTGAAGCTGCCGTAGGATTTAGAGTCAACTGAGGCCCTCTTTCCTCAGGTTTAAGATGACCTAGCAATGTCTCCAACCTTTTTTGAGCCATTTTTAGCAGACACAGCTAAAGGGAGTGACAAAAGGTGTGGCACAGCATGTGAATAGATATATATATTTGCGAAAAACAGTGCAGCCACCCACGTGCAAGGAAGTTATGACAACAGAAACATTATAATGTGCAAGCTCACGGTTTTGATAGCTAAACAAATACTACAAACATTTTAATTACAATAATTTGATAAAAATTGGATAATTAAAAATTTATTTCTCACGATGCAACTGTCACAGATAATACTTTAATATGCAAACTGTTGTCAGGTAAAAAACGAGGACTTTGTTTTGAGTTTGGCTTCAAAAGAGCAAGATCAACAAAAAGATACGAAACAAGACCAGATTCATTCATTTCGCCACTTGTAACACGACCGGTCACTTTCGCTGAAGTACCTTTATCGAATTTAATGGTATCAATAAAGTTCTCGCTGCCATTGATTCTATCAATGAGTGCGACAGTGACGTTACCACGAAATGGCCACCTAAGACTCTCATCAAACACACCTTTCATGAGGAAAACTGTTAGCGAGATGTGGCTCCCTTCGCCGAAAAAAATTCCAGAAGGTGTTACTTTAATGCAGAACCGATAGCCGCCTAAATGAGAATAGAATGGAGGGCTAAGGTAGCACTTCTTTTCAGCTAATTTCTTGTGGAAATCCTCCACCACAAAAAGGAATGGAGGCAGACCGATCGAGGATTCCAAGGAGAATGACCGTCTTGCCAGAATCTCCTTCTCTGCTTTGCTCTCGCTGTTGACTCTTCCGATCTGTTCTTTAAGGTCCTTGTTCTCATGCTCTAGCGTTGTTATCTTTTCACAAAGTTGCTTCATTTTTTCCTGTAGAGCATTTATTGCTACCTTATTTGCTTCGTCTTCTCTTTCCAGCTTTGACACAATGAGATCAGTGAGTCTCTTTTGTTTCTTCATATCACCCAGCGTCCCTTTAATACTCTGCACTTCTTCATGCATGCTCCGTCCTGAGCTACCAACCATACAAACATGGACGTTAACGGACGAGTTAAGGTGATCCATTAGCTTTACTCTTTGCGTCTTTGCCGTGCATCCAGCCCATTCAAAAGGACAGTTCACTTCTTGTAGCTCGCACGTACTATTGAGATGCTCTTGGAGCAAACCTCTTGCAAGATATCGTGTCTGGCATTGATTGGGACACTCGACAGGATAATCTTTACATTCGGGCCAATGCCTCTCGATCACATCTTCACACGTTGATTCATACTCGTTGCAATAGTCACAGCTGTATGGACGCTTTGGGCATTCGGTCTGTTCGTGGGCTACTAGCAGATATCGTTTATTGGAGTAACCACAGCCATAATTACAACCAACCACAAGACACTGACAACCCCCAAAACGCTTCCCAATGTTAAGATGATCCTCTATACAGCCCAATTCACCTATCCAATCGCATGGAGGACCCTCACTTGTTTTTTTAGAATTAGGACAGACTATAGTCAACTGATTGATATCACGCTGCAAAGACTTGTTAAGCAGGCTAGTGAAGTCCCCCTTACACATAGGGCAAGGCTGCCCTTCTCTCTTGACCCTATCTAGACACGTCTCACAGAAGTGGTAACCACAGCAGCTCACGATGTGAGGATGGAAAAGTATTCCCATGCATATTGGGCATTCAAGAGCTAGCTGACGAGGTGGCTTTTCTACAAAATCTACATCATCGGGAGAGAGAGAGATCGTTCTTTTCCATATGCCAGACCTAGTGCCAGCCATTGGATTGAGGTGGAGTCTGAAGTGAAGGAGTGGCAAAACTGAAGACATACACAAAATAAATAAACTTTTTTATACAATGATTCAATGCACAAAAATAATAGATCATTAAAAATTCCAATGTGAACAATGTAAATTTTATTATTATTATTATTATTATTATTATTATTATTAGCGCAAAAGTAAAAATGTGCATGGTCACTCAACACTTTAAAATAATTATAAGTTTCAACAAGAGATAGCAGCTACAATGATAATGACAGCTATAATGACGACAACGACAACGAGAGCAACAATCCCACCAACAATTGCACCGATAGCTATTGAAAATAAAATCACAATTACACACAACTATCTGTAATCATACTAACTTGAAGAAGATAATTGACTTCCAGTAGTAGCGGTGGTAGCTCCATCAGTAGGTTCATCAGTAGTAGGCTCAGTCATAGAAGGTGATGGTGACTCTGTCATTGTCATGCTTACTACTGTCGAGCTAGAGGTAGAGGTTGAGGTAGAGCTAGGGACAACAATTGTTGTATTGCAAATGGGACCAGTAAGTCCAGGCGGGCATGTACAAGTATCAGGTGCTGTGCAGTTCCCCCCATTGAGGCATGCATTGGTACAAACTGGAGTGCAGGGAGAGCTCCCGCCTGTATAGCCAGAAATACAGGAACAGTGATTAGGTCTTGTGCAGAAACCATAGGGACCACAGTCTTGGGAACAGATAGCTGTAGTGCAGTTTTGTCCACTAAACCCGTCAAGACAAGAGCAAACATCTGGATCTCTGCATCTGCCATTAATGCATGCAGAGTAACATCTAGCCGTATTACAACTGGGACCAAGCCATCCATCATTGCATTCACAAGTATCAGGGGCTATGCATGAACCATTAATACAGCCTTGACAGCAGATGGCAACGGTACAAAGGTCACCTGACCAGCCCTCTTTGCAAAGACACGTATCTCTTTCAGTACAATAACCATTTGTTAAACTGCAACCGGTCCTACAGACAACTAAAAAAAGCAGTCACTTTATTATGAGAAAAACATAGTTTACCTGCAGGAGTAAGATGGCCTGTCCCATTCAGATAAAGGAGCCATTCTCCACTTCTAGTAGTGGCAAGATTAGATTGTGAAGCTGCAACTTGACCAGAAGGAGCAGTATCCCATCTCCCACTAGGACTGCTACCACAGGCTTGTAAGCCTATAGTAGCAGCATCTTTGCCCCATTGAATGGTATCATAGAGATAAAAGATTAATGCACGATTTCCATGATGTATATAAGCCATTTGAAAAATGTTGTGCTAAAAATACAGAAAATAAAAAATACAAAAATGAAGAAATAATACTTACAGGAGAATTAAAATCACTAGTTTCCATACCACCAGAGCTTAAGATACTTTGAGTAATATTCCAGGTTACCAAAAAGATATGGGTTGGATTAAAATCACCTTCAGTAAGTCTCTCTCTTGGAAAAAATTGGTTAAAAGAATCAACAGCGCACGTTTTGATGACCTCATTAACAACTGTATAACGATATGACACATTACGGAGACTTATGTCATTGACATCATCAACATTAAATACATTAAAAGTAAGAACTGGTGCATCATCATTATTTGAATGAGATATAACTGCTCGACCAGAAACAAGTATCTAAAGGAAGGTTGTAAATTAAACATGTGGAGATATTAATTGACTTGCATCGAATCGTCCAACATCATTAGTGCCTGGACAGCCAAGGGGTATTCGACTTGAAAAAGCCTGGTTTGTAATTTCATTCACCTGGCTACTAGTTACAACTGTATCACCAAGGAGATCACCAGTAGGAAACTGTTCACAAACAGAATGAACAGATGGAAGGAATAAAGAGAACAGGAGGGATATCTTGAACAGAGTCAACATCTTGAGAAGCCTAGCTGCTCCACTACTAAACCAGCAACTAAAGAATGTGTGTACATTACATGTCTATATGATCTAATAGCCAATGCCATATATGGTACTGTAGAATGTTAATAAACAATGCCTACACTATTAAAACCATGCAGCTATAACATTTAGTCTTTATTTTATTTATTATAAAATGGCTAGAACTATATGCCTACTAATAACTATGTAGCATTTACAATAAAATGACAATAATTATGACAAAACATATTTTTTGTACACTCACAGCTAGAGCCACACCAATCCAACACAAAGGAACAATAGACCAAACAAAACTGACAAAAGGACTCAAATAAACGCCCACAAGCAAAATTATTATTTTAATCATTACACAGGTGAACTAATGAATATCATTAAGTCACTAAAATAAGACAGCTATAAGATTTAGAACATCAATCATACAAATAATATAGAAATCAATAATTATAAATATAATAGATGCTATTGAGAGGGGGAGACAGAATGAGACTCAGAGCTCTGAACTTTCATTGAGATTCTGCAATACAAATAGAAAGGCATTAATAATCAATAATTATGAAGCAATTTACTGTGTCCGACGTATGTCTTCATTTTGAAGAATACAATCGTCACTCATTCTGCACATATTCTTTCTAAATATGTAAAGAGAGGAGAAAGAAAAGAAAGTAGTTCTCATTAAGGTAGAGAAAAACATCATCTAGCACTTAAACACTTCAAGCAGGCTCTCACTATCTATGCTCACATTTCAAGCTTCAGTGATCCTACAAGCGACTGTAGCTCTTCGTCTCCGGCATCCACTGATTCAGAGGAGACACTGCCCTGACTGCAGAATAACAACCAGACCACACTATAGAGACACTATGGAATGAAATATTGTACCTTCTCATTCGTGACAGAATAGAATTACAGCTAGTAACAGAGCTTGAGCGTGTATATTTATAACCAGATCCATTAAACTAGACACAAACTCATTATAATATAAATCATTACGACTCTTGATTTCTTACGACTGAGTTATTAAGAGATTGCGTGACATCAAAATCACTGCTACTTCTCTGCATTCAAGAGGAATGGGTTGTTATTACTATTTGATAGTGACACATACTTGTATCTTAATTAGAGACCACATTTCTTTGCGTAGAGTAGCGTTAATCTAATAAGATGAAATTTTTCTTCCACCTCCCACATATTCCTCCTCTCTCTCTCTCTCTCTCTATCTCAACTCCATTAAGCATTATCCACTGATGCTTTTTCTAGCTCCTAGCTCTCTTTGCTTTGTCTCCCTCTTTCTCATTGTCTCTATTCACATCTTTCTCAACAACTGTACCTCATCGCATTTCACTTCCAAGCGGTCAATTTTCGGTTTTATGGAATCCCTTCTCTCTATTAGCCTCTTCAATTGAAGATAAAGCTTCAAAAAATCACTAAAGTTATATTAGCAAAACCTCGCAACCATCAAGTTTAGGGTTCTTATACTCACTATCGATTCAAATGATCTTGGATTATATTCTCGGCTAGCTGGCTTGATCTAGTTAACAGGTCCGCCATACTATTATTGTGGGGCTCGTGATTTTTCTCTTTCTTGATAATATCAAGGGCTCTTGACACACTACAGATAAATAAAGGCTTGTTTCACATTACTATTAACTAAAAACTTCAAATAATTCAACAACAAAAGCACAAAAGTTTAGGATTGTATACTAGTATAAGCCAAAGACTAAAGCATGATAGCATACCATGAAGTGTTGAAATCCCTGAACTGATCTCTACTGCTAATGATAGCTTCATTCATCACTTCACATTTAGTTAGCTCCTCTCCAATCTCTTGGGGAAGTGCATGCATCTCAGAAGTAAGTGAATGAAGGTCCTACAAGTGTGTGTGTGTGTGTGTGTGTGTGTACTGATTGCTGATGAGTGAGGATGAACCTTAATTGCTTGATCCAATTTGCTTAGTTCACTTCTCCATGCATTAATTCTACTGTTATCTGTAACGTGTACATGCATGTATAAAAATAGAAATCAACACACACACACACACACACACACACACACACACACCTGACAATTTCTCCATGTCTTCTGAATACCTAATGCACAATGATATAAATATAACTGGCAGGTACACTAAACTCACATTTTCTTCATAAAATTAGCAACTCCCAAACACTTTGCAACTTCAGTGCTGTGATCATCATAATGTCCTTTCAATTCCTCAGTGACTGGTCTGATCAGTTGCCTACCATGTAATAAAAAGAAGAGAAGAAGGTGTGAGTGAGAGAGAAAGACAAAAGTGATATGCCTCACAGAATAGCTCTGTGCCCATTATGAATCCTCCAGAAGAGCCTCTCCTGATCTTTAATGTGAGAGTAGGCATGAGCAAAGTGCATGTATTTATCCTAATAATAATAATAATAATAATAATAATAATAAATATATATATACAGATTCATGTGTGAAAATCCCATACAAATACAAGCACTATCACAGGCATGTTGGCATACCTCTCTATGCAAATTCTCATCTCCATTAGTAACTACAGTGATGCAACAATGCAATATTAACAATCAAGTAATGATACTCCTTACTCAAATTCGTAACTGACGGAGTGACTTGTACAACGAGTTTAAACGAAGGGACTACGTCTTGAGAGAACAGATAGACTGTGCAGATACAATCATCCTAAAAATAATAACAACTACATGTAAATACTAGTGATGATTCTTATCCACAAAACCCTGGATACATACATGTACATGTACAATTCAATTCACTGTAGAACATGGGCTGCATATCATTACAGTTAGCAAAAATACACCTTGCACAAACCTGTACTAACAACTGCATTCCGACACAAGGATCATTACATTTACAATAGTAAATTAGCACTTGTGAGTTTGTTCAACTACCAATCAGCAACCAATAAAGGCAATGTGCAGTGAAAACACTAAATGTATAAATATTATAATAAGAATATGCCATAACTTATGTAGGACTAACATTTACACAGCTACAGCACTGAGTTATTATCCAAACTGGTAATACTATAATTATTTTACTATAAAAATGTGTTGGTATCAAATCAATGATTCAAGAATCGTTGCACAAATGAGTAAACACATACAAAGCTATGACTATATACATGTATACATGTATCGGGCTGTTTGTTAAAAAGCTATATTTAAAACACAGGGAATGGCACATGCATGCATGTTAGCTTAATAGTTTCTGTTTACAGTTTTCATCTTTCATGAACATCAGCTAACACTGTCATCTTTATCTTTCATCATACATGTAGCTTCAATATTGGATTATTAAACTAACATAAAAGTCAGTTTAATAACTCAATATCAAAGCTAAATGTATGATAATAAACAATGAACAAATACATGCTATAATTCTACTAGGCACTGAAATAAGGACAAGCATTAAGACTCAATGTAGTATCATATGCCATCCAATAAATGATAGAAGTATTTCCCATTAGTGTACAAATATAAATTAAAATAGTAGTGCTAACTAGGCATGTAATTGAAGGAATTCAAATGCTACAAGGAATAACAAAATAACAAGTGTTGCCTCAATACATGTACATGTATGTAGGTTAGAACTGAGAAGGAGTGTCTTACCCATCTCAATGAGGAGTGAAGATCAAGTAATGAATCTGACAACAGCTCCCCTCTATCTGTAACAAGGTACTGTTTAGATTTAGGATAGCCTTTCTCTTCCAGCCATGCTGAGAGTGACTGATAACTAAAGAGAAAGGAGAGAGAGAGAGAGAGAGAGAGAGAGGGAGAGGGAGAGAGGGAGAGGAAGGAGGTAGAGCATTTAATAGGAAAGAAGTGTAGATTGACAATGATTATTAAGGATAAGGTTACCTTGAGTCACATCTTACACTGTAGGATAGGACGTGACCATTGGACATACTAACAATGATCAATACCTACAATACACAGTATATATATGCACCATAATAGATATGAATATACATGTACAATAAACCTTAGTCTTTAATATTCTGTCAATATGAAGTAAGCATGGAGCCTCATCTCCATTGTGAGCCACACCTCTTTTCTCTGACTCCTGATGAAGGACGACCTGAAGCCATTTAGTTAGTTCACCAGCAAAAGCACTAGCAAGTAAGAGAGATATATATTATATGAGAAAAGAATAACAGAAGAATATGATACCTTGATAATTGATGAGGGGATGGTATGCTGTCATAATACTCCAATTGCCCATTGTTGAGTGTAATATAGATACAGTTGTCCCTCTTATTACGAGTAGGTCCAACCCTGCAATAGTACTGCTGTAATGCAGGTAATATGTGACTGATAATGATTACCCACTCAAGGGGTCGTCTGGATTTGTGTAAAAATGGTCTAATACCTGTGACAAGCTCAAAAGCCACAACACCAAAACTCCAAAAATCAACCTAAAAATATCCAATATGAAGATGTACTCAGAAAATTCAGAGTAACAGTACAGATATACTTACTGGGCGACCA